ACGACGAAACCCCATTCCGCCCTCATGTTTACTACTACAAAAATTACGCTAGGACATCCAACGGATCCTAGGATGGCCTTCGGTAATGCCCCACCAAAACCGGGCCCCATTTTTATCCAAGAGACGACACTGCGACAGGGGAAGCTTGAAGCAGGATAATACATGCAATGGCAGAGCCAAAGCAACTGACTTAATCAATGTTTCCTTAGATGTCCAGGAAAGTGTTCTCTGTTTCCACCCCTGAAGTCGCTCCAATAATTTTTCCTCTAAGTACCAGAAAGTCGCCATCTTAGAACGGGCTATTAGCGTAGGCAGGCCCAGATACTTATCATGGACCCCTACCGCCCCGATTCCTAGAATCTGAGCCAAGAATTCTTGATCCGATATCACAATATTTTTGCTGAAGCACACAGCCGATTTTGCCAGATGTACCCGTTTCCCACTCAATTCCTCATACTCGTTTAAGACCACAATCAGATTCTCACATTCCTGGAGAGAGCCACGCAGGAACAAATACGAATCATCCGCAAAAAAACAAAAAACAAAACAAAAAGAGAGATGCGAGGAGCTCGAGGAGCAACTTTAACGCCTTCTAGCTTTTTTTCGTAATGGCCTTCCGAAGGAGCGACATAAACCCCTTGGTACAAATAATGAACAAAAGAGGGGAGAGCGGATCACCCTGCCTTAGACCCCTAGAGGGAGCATAAAACACCGACGGGGTTCATTCATTAGGACCGAGAACGACGACGATCTGAGGCACTCCTGAATCCAACTTCTCTAGGTGGAATTAAAACTCATCTTGTCCAAAACCGCCATCAAAATGGCCATTCTACTCTGTCATAGGCCTTTTCCATGTCAACCTTCAGAGCCATGTACCCTTTCTTACCTCGCGTTTTGATTTTCAAGTAATGCATTAATTCATTACCCAGGAGGATGTTTTCCACAATTTGTCGTTCACGTATAAAAGAATTTTGCACATCCGAGATAATTACCGGTAAAATGACAGCAAGCCGTTCAGAAATTATCTTAGATATAATTTTGTACACGAACTGACAGAGGCTGATGGGGGCGCAAGTGCTTCATCGTGTCCACATTATCCACTTTGGGGATCAAAGTTAGCCATGTATGATTAAAGCTCCTCAACATCTTACTAGTTGCAAAGAAAGAGCAGACCACTTCAATCACCGAGCAGCCAACATTATCCCAGTAAGCTTTGAAGAATTTTCCTGTGAACCCGTCAGACCCCGCTGCTTATTTCAATCTCATCGAAAAGACCGTACGACGTACTTCCTCAGGAGAAACTTCCGCCGTTAGGCGGGCATTCATTTCAGGTGTCACGGCTCGGCCAATGGGGAGCGCAGCCACTGCCTCAATCATATTTGGCACCTGATTTTCAGAGGTGAATAAATGTTGTTAAAAATTGTTGGCAATGTCAGCTTTACCACTTTCCTCCGTGACCCATTCACTGTTATCATTATGGAGGCCAGGAACAAAATTCTTTTTCCGTCGGGCCCTAGTGACCGTATGGAAGTAAGAGGTATTCTTATCCCCTCTCTTCAACCAACGGATTTGGGACTTTTGCTGCCAATAAAGTTCCTCCGCCTCCCACTGTCCACTCAGCTCCGTTTCTAGGATACGAACCTCGTCCCAATTAATAGGATGAATAGACTTCACACGCTCAATTTCAGTTTGGAGAGTATGAATATTGCGCAGGGAATTCATCGTTCCCGCCCTACTCCAATCGTACAAAATATGGTGAAGCCTCTTAAGCCTTTCCCATAGTTGGAACATAGGAGTTCCAATGTACCGACTCCTGCCATACATAAGTCACCATGGCTTTTACCTCAGGATTATCTGCTCATCTAGCATCGAATCGAAACAGAGGTCGACTATGCCGCACATAAGGTTTATCGAACAGAAGCAGAGCGTGATGATCAGAACCCTGGTCAGTGAAATGCTTAACGAGGGTATCCGAAAAACGCTCATTCCAAACTGGAGAGCATAGAGCCCTATTCAGTCGCTCACGTATACAGGCAGCCCCCATCCGTCTATTCGTCCATGTGAAAAGGTCACCTTGGTACCTTGGATCATGGATCCCAAGGTCCTGGACAAAATTATGCAGATCCACAGACTGGGCCGCATTCCAGGGGTTTCCGCCATCTTTCTCATTTTCATGTAGAGTGACATTGAAGTCCCCTATTACCACGTAGGGCAATTGGACCTCGTCGCAAATTCCCCGCAATTGAGCTAGCTGATTTGATCGAGTAGCAACGTGACAGCTGATGTAAACACATAACACAATATACGGAGAATTGACTTCATTAATTTGAATTATAAAACACCGAAGCATCAACTTCGGGGGACCAAGCTACCACTAACCCACCCAATGCATTAACCGCATCAACAAAGAAACAATGATCAACAGAAAACCCTAACCCCCTAATACGCTGAGAGACAACACGTTGGCTCGATCGCGTCTCCAAAAAGAACACGAGATCCGGTTTATTAGAATGAACTAGCCCTATAGAAATTTGGAATGTGAGTGATCGCCCAATTTCCCTCACATTCCAATAGCCTCATTTATCTGGTTGGGGCCACTCACGGTTGGCTTCCTCCACCGAGTTACACTTCTCCACTTCCTCCAAAAATTGCTTTTTAGGTGTAGGTGAGTATGCCAAACATCCTACCACCTCGTCCAAAGGCCTCTTACGATTACCAATGGCTGGGTCCAAGAGATTCTAGACATACTCATCCAAGGAGGAGCTCGATATCCCTTCCTCAACCTACCAGCGACTCCCCATCATGTCAGCAGTTGGAGTCTTTCCCTCAGCAGTAATATTAAGCCTAGACTCAAACGCAGCGACCACTTGCCGGACGCATCCTTTAGTGACACGCTTTTTTTGAATCCCAGCATCCTCTGGTTCAAGCTTCTTTAACTCAAAGACACCACCATCACCCTCCGAGGGAGAAGTTAGCGACACATAGTCACCCTGAGCGCCATTAGAGATCGGCCCTCAAGCTTGAAGCATAGGAGAGTCGAGTGGGGAGGATGAATCGACTTGCACCGGCGAAGGCGCTACCCGCCAGTTTGCCATGTTCTCCCTCCACACCAGCCGCACCACCTTTTCCCTTGGATAGCCGTTTCCGAGGCCTAGCAGGCGCACCCTAAGGATTTCGTGCGCCACTGGAAGGCTTCCTAGCTTTTGGTGTGGCAGTTTTCCCGCCTTCACTCACCTCCTCCAAACCACGTAGCTGCAAGGGTGAGGAAGCTTGCATCGTCCCCGACATCATATCCTCCACGTCACCCTTTCACACCATATTCTGAAACTCAAAAACATCCTCCAAATCCTCCTTCTAAATCAGCCTTCTTCGCCGGGAATCATCCACCACACTACTCGCCGGCCTGAGATCGCCTTCCCCCATCGTTTTTGGACCTCGGACCTGCTTCCCCTCCAAAGCATCAGTCGCACGAACTCGGCCTTTTCGTTGCAGCGGCTGGTGGTCCGCCTGGGAATGCGGTGTGCGACCTAACCCCTTGCCAGCTCGAATACGCGGAGATTTCACAATATTAAAGCCATGCGGACTGCTTCTCCCGAGAGTCTGGAGCATGGTTCCTACCATCGGAGCATTCCTCGCGCTGCCCTGGTCCCAATTATCCATGCACGGAAATTTGGGAGGAGATCGGGCTAGCTTCTCGCCAACATACGCACGCTCCTCCCTTCGCTAAAGCATGGGTTGAGACTCATCCCTTGGATTCTCAGTCACAAGTCGCGCGCCTCGCCCAAGAGCTCCTGCATCAATCATGTTTTTATTTTCTTGAATCGCCTTGTTAACCCTGACCGATTTTCGAGTACCATCGAACACTTGGTCAGGTTTGTCGTCTTCATGAACCCTCCGACCCAGTTTTTTTGTGGTCGTATGGGAACCAAAATTTTCTTTCCTAGTCGGGGGGTCATGCAGGCACTCACGTTGCAAATGACCCAGCCTCCCGCAGTGGAAGCAGAGGCTAGGTAAGAACTCGTATTTGAGTGATACCCAAACACCCCCCCCCCCCCCCCCCCCCCCCCCCCATTCTCTTCACTAGCCGCATACAACTGAGACCTCAATGGCTTAGCAAAATCAACCATCGCTCTAACTTTCATGAAATACTCCAAAATCTCTTTAGTGACGAACACGCCAGCTTCCAGGACCTGTCCAATGGTCGGGGCAACCAATTTTTTGCTGAATTTCTTAGTGCAACAGTAATCTTTAACCCCCCGAGCTGAATGCGGAAAGGTGCGATGGTCAGTTCATCAAAGGTCGTTTTCGTGACAGTAGGTGTCCAGGATCGCAGGTTAATGAGCGTATCCCAGATGACCCAGGGGGTACGTTTCAGCACCTAGACCTTGGATTCTGCATTCGGAAATACGAACTCGAACAGGCCATGCTTAGCCTGCGAGACCCGAATTTGGCCCCTCCCTTGCCAGTGAGTATTCACAGCATCACGGATTTCCGTGATCAGAAAGGCAGCGTCTTTAAACACCCTACCCAGCAGTGTTCGAGAGGAACGAAATCGCACCGATTGCACATCTTCCAATGAAAACTGAACAACTTGATCTTCCGTGACATGGGCCATCTCGGTAACCTGAAAAACAGTCGGTGAATGGGTAGAAGTCTCATTAGATCGTGGAAGGAATTTTCCTCCTTCCAAGTCTATCGATACCAGGCCAATCATTTGCATAATCATGAAGGGACAGGGTATCAGTGGGAAAGAGAACAACGAGAAAGGCCACAAGGAAGGGAGGGCACATGGCTTCCCGTTACCTGGATTCTTCCTGATGGCAGCTTGAGGATAAAGAGGCAGGGTCGGTGCGCTTCTGATCACCAAAGGTATCTCTCGTTTTCTGTGAATGAGAAGAGGCTGGGTAAACTTTCTTTTATAATGAAACACTACCCCCCTACGTCCCCAAAGCGACAGCCCAGAAATACCAAGCCCTATTAGAGTTGGACCAGGACTAGGAGAACCAATTTTAAATTTATTTTTACGGTTACCAAAATGAACCCAAAAAATCCACCCCCCTTGATTAATGGGATCCCGTCTCGGGAAAGGAGTCTCACCAGCAAGCACTAGGTTTTCTTGCCGGTTTATCCTTGAGTCGTCATCATGGCAGGGTAGCAATCTGACACCAGTTCAGAAGGAATTGGATGATCCACCACTTCTGGGATCAGCGTTGGCAACCACAGCGGAGACCAGACTTTCTTCAAACTCCCATGCTCACGATCCATCGATTCAACGACGGTCATGCAAATGGATGGAGGTGCTTCGTCCTCCATGTCAGACGATGAGGGCAGGCAAAATCGCCATCCCCCCATATTTTGTATCTTTGGCTTTTTAGGGAGCGTGCAGCTCGCATTACCATGTTCATTACGTTTACGCTTAGTAGCTAGCGTACTTTCACGAAGGACTCGTGTAACTTCGCGGTCCATTCTCGTGAAATCTCGAGGGAGACGCCGGCGCATAGCTCGCAGGGGCACCGATCTGTTCTAGTCGCAAGTGACCCCAGTCTCCCAACTTTCTCCGTCCACTCGTTGATTCGTTAAACTAGCGCGGAACAGGGCCACCATTGCTACGAGGATGAGGCGGTCGATCCAGTTCACCAAGTTGAAGAGAGAGAGGGCAGAGCACCTCTCATCTCTTTTTTTTTTTTTTTGCTCCCACCAGTCGATATCCACATTACTTTCCGTAGTGATTGGTTGATAGTTATCGTCCTCTCAGTTTCTGCGATTCAATATTTCGGTTTAGCTTTGACAAATTATGGCTGGACTTTCACAAATTAGGATTTGAAATTGACCAATTGAGATTTAAGAAGATTACGGTTTAATCAATCTGACCCAAGATGACGGATAAAAAAATAAGAATAAACTTGATTAGGGTTTGATGATAGTTTAATCATAAATTATTATAAATATTGTAAAATTTACGAATAATTCATTTTAATATTTTAGAATTGTTATAAAATATTTATAAAATTTTATTAAACTTTTTAATTGTATTTATTTCATAGTTAATTAGATCATCATCCCTAAATTATGTTTTATAAAACTTCCTAGAAATTGGGACATGGAGAAGGCTCTTTGTGGCTTGTGGAAGGTCGGACAAAATCACCTTTCGCAATTACTATAGAGTCACCGACATGAAAAATTATGGAAACCCTCAATAATCTCTTAAAATGTGGATACAAATGTGTTGGAATCGACCGTTTCTCGATCGGACGTTCCAGGTAAAAAAAGATGAATATTGCCAAAATTTCTATTCAGGTTTTTGGGGATCTAGGGGTGGTAACTAGAAATTTCTTGAGCCTGACACATATATTTCGACAATGCCAACAATTGTTGTTACTGGAGGCAGAGACGATTTTGCCTCTAAAATAATTTCATTGTAGGATTGGATGGATCGAGGTTGAAGGTAGCTATTCAGAAGAGGAATGAGTGTTCAGGGTTTCGGAGGAGTATAAAGTGTAGGAGGGGGACGAGATGTTTTCCTTATTTACTGTCATGATCGATCCGTTTGAGTCCAGTTGATTCTTATTGTTGTCATTCATCATTTTGGTTGAGATTGGTTCAACTATGGTCAAACTCTAATTGGTGGTGAGAAATACAAATTAGAGGTTGTTAATTAGGTAAGTTTCCTTTCGAAAAATTCTTACTCAAATGAAATATTTCATAAATGTAAACTTAGAAATTTTACCATAAAAAACTCTCTTATTTAATATTCTACCAAAAATATATCAAGAAAAAACCAATCAACTCCCTTTAATGGGGTTGTTAGTTGCCTAATTATCTTATTTATAATTATTATAACAATATAACTATTTAATCATAATTATAATAAAAAAACTATTCCGCAAAAGAAGACACTGGCGGCCCATTCGACGCCGACTTTCGAACGTGGTCCTAAGTTGGAGATCGACCGTGGTCTGACGCCGCAGATCGGATGTGGTCCGACCCCGCAGATCGAACTTGGTCAAAATTTTGACATCAGACCGCGCTGCTCCTTCCGAACCCGACGTCTGCCACTGATCTCCGACGGGCGATGGGGAGACGACGATGCTGGAAAGAAGGCGCGGGAGCTTCGATCTGGAGGGATCCCGGGGTTTCGATCACCGTCGCGTGATGGATTTTGGGGTTTGGTTGGATTTGTGCTCATCACTTCTCTCGAATTTGATGATAACGGTAGGGACAGGAGGAGGAAGCGATGGTCGGGGGAGAATTTCCTTGGAGGAAATAGAGAGGGGTAAGGGATGGCGTTGCCGCATTGGTAGGAGGAAGTAGGCACCTCTTGTGCTGTGCGACAATTTTCTGGCGGTGGAGGAAAGCCGACAGAGGTTGAGTGCTGGTTGGTGGGAGGGTTTCCAAAGAAAAGGGGAAAATCATCATTTACTTCAAAATTGTGGGCGGCAAATAGTAATCTTTAGGGCGACAAATAAAAACCCTCTTACAAAATCAAGCGTGGCTCTATGTGTAAAAATCAGAGATCATCGAGAGCTAAAGGAGAAAGGCCACCACCAAATTTCATATCATGAACTGAAAATTTACATTGTTCATCCACATTACAAATATATATAGTTCTCTAATTACCAAATCACAGGAAATAAATAAACGTTACATTAGCAGTCCCCATAGCAGTCAAAATCGGGATTTTACGTAATATCGAAAAGGAGGGTAAAATCGGAATCATAAAATTGTAGGATTTTAAGGTCCATGTATAAATGAAGAAGAAATAATATTAATAAGGAAACTCATGAATAACACAACAACACATAGCAATTGCAATGATAATTCTCAAGGTTAATGTTCCGATTTATCAAGGATAATGTTAGGAAGTGGTGAATTGATGATGATTAATACGTTGATGTGATCCACTGTTGTTTGTTGAGAATCATCATTTTCTTCATATTCATTTATTGTGTTTGCTTTCCTTTTGCTTGATTGTGCCTTGTCAAAAATTTTCTTCAGAGTTTCTTCTAGGTTGTTGTCTGCTTCTTTACCTTCATCTCCAGATTCAGTTCTTTCCTTTTGTTCGACAATCACGTTATCAGATCTTTCTCCTTCCACACCATCAAAGTTCTCATCAGAAGTTTGTTGCTCCAACTTTTCCTTGTGTTTGACAAGCTCATCAATTTGAGCTTTGTATTGCATCTCCAACATATCTTTCATTGATGTTTTCACCAGATTATTGCTCGTCAGCCTGCATTAGTGATTTTTGGTTTGTAAGTTAATATTTACGATAGAATACCACATGTTACCATGGTGATAATGGATGGTATGTTCATTATACAGTACAATACCATATGTTACCACCATGGTTCATGTGTGGTATTAGTTATGTGAATTGCACAATTGTAACATATATGAGTGATGTTGATGGTTGTTGGTCTGTGTAGTTGTCATCATCATCATTGTTGGAGCCACCGATCTTGTCTTCATTATCATATATCTTCATTAGCTCATTATGTACTTCTAAACTGTAGTAGCTGATTATGTTTTCAAAGTTTCTTTGCACAACAAGGTCATCGTAATAGCTTGTTGTTGGGATTTGAAACTGGGTGGAGAAGGCAATTTCATTCAACTTGTACATGAAGCATACCTTTTATTTGTTTGTGGAAAGGAGAAACAGTTGTATTAGTTTTTGTAAGTACTAGGATTGGTAATGCTTTAGGGTATACTAATTGAAATGAAATTATTGAGGGTATAGATACTTACTGTTAAGAAATGAAGATCTGCATTGACGTACAAGTTTCTTGATTTCAACGCCTCATTCACATAGTCGAAGAAGAACTTGCACCAATTATATTCTTTGAAATGCTTGATTTTTCTTGGCTGCAAGTACTCAAGCATATTCAACTCAGCAGTAGGGTTTGAAAATGGGGACAGTAAACCTCCAGTAACTAGCAACCAGAACCGTTTGATCCATCTTTCAATGGTATGAGGTTGATAAACGTCATGCTCTACGTTAAGTAATTTCACCCTTGCATTTCCAGCTGGAAGTTCTAGTAGGACTTGTAGTGCATAGTCTACTGCTTCATCCAATGATAATTTCTTGAGCGTCACTTCCTTTTTACCCATTGGTAGACCATAAACTCTATGAAAGTCAATTGGTGATATCTTCATGTAGTTTCCATTAGGCAGCTTGAATATTGCTTTGTTGGATTGTACTTGCTCATTGTGAATAGAGCAAAGTTCTTGTTTATCTTTGTTTGCTGGATGGCTGTTAAGCCGTCAAGGCCTAACTCCTGCAATTTTTCCCTCTGTTCAGCTATTAATGCCCTTGACAGTGTGTTGATTCTTGTGCGAAAATCGTCCCTTGGTTTTGACATGATGTACCTGAATCCATAATAGAAGATTTGTTATATCATACCATACCATATTCTACCAGTAAGCAATGCATCGTACAACACATCAAGGGTTGTTGAACAGGTTTTCAAGTGATCTTACCGCACCATACCATATGGTATTATGATAAATGGAAGCATAGCTGCGGTTTTTTGTGGTTTTTTATACATTTTTAGAAAATCTTCTTCACTTTAAGTGCTTTTAGCACTACTCGAATAGTTACTCCTTATTATACCATATGGTACCAGTGTGGTATTATGAAAAAAATGAGAGCATAGCATAGGTTTTTTTGTCGTTTTCATACTTTTATATAATATTTCACTGTAAGTACTTTGACCACTACTCAGACGGTTTCTCCTTATAATACCATATGGTATCAATGTGGTATTGTAAGAAAATCAGAACATAGCATAGGTTTTTTGTCGTTTTTATACTTTTCTATAAAATGTATTTCACTGTAAGTACTTTGACCACTACTCGAACGGTTTCTCCTTAGAATACCACATGGTACTAGTGTGGTATTGTAAAAAAATTAATGCATAGTTGAGGTTTTTGTTTGGTTATTTGATCATCTCTTCAAAACAGTGTGGTTAACGTTGTGCAAGAACAAAAATCCAGTAGTGAACATGATTTGCATTGTGAAGTCTGTACTTGAAATTAGACATTCAGAATCACGTATCTAGATTTTGAAGAAAGAAGTGATGATTTACCTTGATCGTTGAAGACGTCGAAGTTGGAAACCCTCACTTGATCGCTGAAGGAGTGAGATCAGTATCCTTTGCTAACATTCTGAAAATTTGAGTTTGCAGTTTCTCGTTAGTATTCTTTATGAGCGGAGATAAAATGCGAGAGAGAGAATGGATACCGTAAATGGAGAGAATGGATAGCGTAAATGTAGAGCGAAAAAACAGAGATGGAACGCGAACCGTCTGTGGTGATTTTTGTTAATACGCCCCTGGGGGGTGTATATCATCAAATTCACGCAGCTAACGACTCAATTGAAGAATCGATTGAGCTCGAATCAAGAACGAAGCGTTCATAATACGAACTTGGATAAAACGGAACCAAAAGGACAAATCCACACCTAAGGATAGCTCGATTGGTATAAAAGGGTAGTTGCTCGACCACGATTGAAGTGACTATTCAATCGATACACAAGCTCAGCAAGTTTGGAATCCACCAAACCCAAAACAACTCGCAACTTGCACAAACCAAACGGTTTCGATTTCTATTCAACAAAGTCTGAATTTTACAACAAAAATAGAAGGCTATTTATAGCCAAGAAAACCTAATACAAACCTAGATGAACAAGAAAAAAAATAAGGTAAAATTCTACTCTAAAAAGGACACAAAATTCGGGTTTAAACTTCCTTTCTTGAAGCACAAGTAAGCTGCCAGCAAACAGTCAAAAGGCGGCTTTCGTACTAACTTCACGCCTTTCGTTCGAGGCCTTCCCGAAATCCAGTTCTTCATCCAATTCCTTCCCTTTGTTCAAAAACATACCTAGTTTCATGTTGTGGAAGCCTTTGGACTTGAATCAGATCCATACTCCTCGAATTAAGCTCCAAAGTAGGCTTCACAAAACAGTTTCCAGACTTAACCAT